ATTGTTTCCAAAATCCCCAAACACATTGGTTACACAAACGAACCCAAGGATCACAAAATAATAATTCACACTGATTAACAAACCGGATTAGTCAAAACAAAATCATCCCATCAGTCATTACTACTATTACGTCCCCTTGGGACCGCCGGAATTTGGTCATGCCCCAACATAGATAACAACCGAGCTTACAGCCACGGACAGAACTAGCTGACGTGCCCCCTCTGTCCACACCTGGAACAACTACAAACTTCCCTAGCTGGGGCTTGGGAACTCGACTCTACTGAGGCCCTCGCAATCTGGCCTGCTAGTCCCCCAAAACGATACTGTTCCTGCTCAGTCGAATGAAACTGAGCCTGGCTAGGTTGCGAAACCCCTAAAGAAGCCCCCGGCTGAGTACAAAAACGTCGAATATGACCCGGCTGATTACACATCCAACAAGTAGGCGGTGCCTGAGCACGAGACTGGTTCAGAATCTGGGCTGATGAAGACCCCAACAACTGTCTCCCCACTGAGCATTTGATCGACCCAAAACCCGGCTGGTTAGATGATCCTGGTGGTACGACTACTGGTTGAACTGCTAACCCTGCCCTCTTCCTCTGTGGGCAACCCGAAACCTTGTGGCCCAGAAGACCACATTTGAAACAAACGACATCCCTCTGTTTACTTTCTCCCGAACCCAAATCCGACACTGGAAGGGTGGTTCTAGCCCGACCTCCCTGTTGTGGGTTTAAACCCCTTTGCCTCTTAAAAGGTCTACCAACACCCTGAGTCATGGGAGTTGCCGAGATGGCTCCCTCCCCACTCTGCCCCATTGCTAGCACCGCAACCTCTACATGGGCAGCTGCCTTAACAAGCACACTATACTTCTTATGCCAAGACCCCGCTATCCTTACACGGATGTCGTCACGCAGCTTACTCTCAAACTCGAAACAACGTAAGTCCTCCGTCTCCACCAATTCTGGAGCAAACCTTGATAGGTTAGCAAACCACTTTTCGAACCGCACCAAAGGTGTAGTACCTTGGCGTAACTCCACAAACTGTTTCCGCAACTCTTCCCGAGCGGAAGGAGGGAAATCGCAACTTCCTCGCCTAGGCATCCTAGTAAAAGAAACAGAGGCACGTTAGCACACTCATACATGTGCCAAAGCTAAACACTCACGTCCTAATACATGGACAACTGTAATTCACTCCACGTAAGCATATAAACACATAAGCATTTACGAATTTCATTTCCGGATAATGATAGTCCCGAGGCGTTACTAGAGTTCTGGTTAGAAACAGCATTGATCAAGTGCTTTTCCAACTAGACTCCCAGAAACCCAAGGAACCAATCAACATCCTAGAAACTACGTCCCATACCCACATAGTCACATAAGCATGTTATCAATTTAAACACATAGCATATGACACTACTACTAAGTCTCTATCAAGCGAGACAAACCATTGTGATCCTAATCACTTCCCACGTACCCAAAGTATTCGAACACGGTACGCTTTGATACCAAGTTGTAACGCCCTTAAAAAAATAACATTTAACGCCCTAAAAAAAAAAAAACATAAAACCCATCACTTAAGACATGCATTGATATAAAAGAACCAACCATTTCTATTCATCAGAATAATAACATTAAACCCATCAATATAAACATACATTTATATACAAAAGATCTATATTTCCTCAATTCATCAGTGTACCTCATTACAAAAGTAGTACTTGTCAACAACAAAAATAAATGCCCTACGGAGTTCATCCCCCATCTCCTCCCAATCCTATCCGGTTTAGAGGTATATCCCCCATCTTCCCCTAAACCGTGGAGTACATCCCCCATCTCCTCCTCTACACATAATGCATATAAACACATTAGTCATATACGCAATCACTCAATACATACAATTAATGTATTCTACCAACCGTCTACACATAATGCATATAAACACATTGGTCATATACGCAATCACTCAATACATACAGTTAATGTATTCTATCAACCGTCATACTCTATGACACATCCGATTGATTAGTTTTAGTTTGCCTAATCGTCATGTATTGTCTACAATAATCAACACTACCCTCCACCGGTAGCCCAAAGCAATTATTTCTAAGCAGGAAGTAAATGCACAAATGGATAATATATCAACATTTCAACTAGATGAGCAATAAAAGATTCGTCTACACTCTTTAGTCACATACATTCCCAATTTTAACATTCTCAATTTAATTCCTCATTTTCTTCAATTAATCGTATGCATTAATTAATTAATCCAATTAGGGCAAATCACCATAGTTCACAAAACAACCCTAAGGTTCCATTTCCATCAATGTCCCAACATTAATCTCATTTCTCTATGCCTAACATGCATATAGGTTTATATATTTAAAACCCCAACCTTTGTAAAATTACACAAAGGCCCAAACTTTCTCAAAATTACCCAACAACCCCCAACATATCAAAATGCTAAAATTCAAAGACAAAGCTCATAAGATGGAGTAGGTTATCCCTACCTCGAATGATGGAACCCAACGAATAAGATGAAGAAACGGAAATGCTCCAAATCCGATGTAATCTGAAAAATGAAAATTTTGAATCCAATAGCCCTTTTTTCATTTCTTCTACTGAAATTGCTATTGAAAATTAATGGCTAATTCATTCCAATATCCATTCATTTTTTTTTTTTCTTGAAATTAGCTTGAAAATGAAAATTTTGAATCCAATAGCCCTTTTTTCATTTCTTCTACTGAAATTGCTATTGAAAATTAATGGCTAATTCATTCCAATATCCATTCATTTTTTTTTTTTCTTGAAATTAGCTTGAAAATGAAAATTTTGAATCCAATAGCCCTTTTTTCATTTCTTCTACTGAAATTGCTATTGAAAATTAATGGCTAATTCATTCCAATATCCATTCATTTTTTTTTTTTCTTGAAATTAGCTTGAAAATGAAAATTTTGAATCCAATAGCCCTTTTTTCATTTCTTCTACTGAAATTGCTATTGAAAATTAATGGCTAATTCATTCCAATATCCATTCATTTTTTTTTTTTCTTGAAATTAGCTTGAAAATGAAAATTTTGAATCCAATAGCCCTTTTTTCATTTCTTCTACTGAAATTGCTATTGAAAATTAATGGCTAATTCATTCCAATATCCATTCATTTTTTTTTTTTCTTGAAATTAGCTTGAAAATGAAAATTTTGAATCCAATAGCCCTTTTTTCATTTCTTCTACTGAAATTGCTATTGAAAATTAATGGCTAATTCATTCCAATATCCATTCATTTTTTTTTTTTCTTGAAATTAGCTTGAAAATGAAAATTTTGAATCCAATAGCCCTTTTTTCATTTCTTCTACTGAAATTGCTATTGAAAATTAATGGCTAATTCATTCCAATAGCCATTCATTTTTTTTTTTCTTGAAATTAGCTTGAAAATGAAAATTTTGAATCCAATAGCAATTCCAAGGTTCATTTTTTTTTTGGGAGTAATGCTGAACAAACAAATTTAAAAACAAACTGATATAGGTAATGAGTTGTTCCTATTATGTATTTAAATTCAATAGATCCTATTTCAAGTTTCAAATCTTCACTTTTGTAAGAAAATTCTGTTTGTATATCATCTTCTCATAAACCAAACAGACAACTGTATACAGACTAACCTGATCACTCCAAAATGCTCGATCGCACAAACTGGAACCCAAGCCATCGATCAAACTATCTCGACCCCTCGAATTTGACCCGATTGATCGGGTTTGATCCGCAGAGAGAGTGATTTGGTGAGAGAAAGAACGAGCACAGCGAGAAAAATGCCGAGGAGATCAGCAACAACGTCTTTGGCGGAGGCTCCGGCCGACTTGAAGAAGCCAAGCTCGTCGGCGACCTCTTTGGCGGCGCCGGCGAAAACGGAGACGATGGATCCGAACCAGATGGTCCGGCAGCGGAGGAAGGAATAGCGAGTTAGGGAAGCGAGGAGAGAGAAAATAATGGTGATGGAGAAGCAGAAGAGAATGTGCTGTAGCTTATTCGGGGACCAACCACTTGTCCCCATTCTCCATTAGAGACAGAGAGAGAGAGAGAGAGAGAGAGAGAGAAAGAGATAGAGATAGAGAGTTGGAAGGGGGTAGCGGTTTAGGGTTTATAAATGGCAACACTTAGAAATGGCGACCAAATTTTATAAATGGCGACCAAATTTTTAGGGAGAGTGGGTACAAAACGACGTCGTTTTATAAATGGCGACCAATTTTTTTTTTGTTGCAAAAAATTTTCATTTCCCCTCTCCATGTTTCAAATTTCCCTTCCAAATTTTTCGCGACCAAATGACCAGATTAGTCGCAGAAAAGGTACCTTCGCCGACAAACTTTTTTAGTCGCCAAATCTCAATCAACGGCGACTAAAATATTAGTCGCTAAAAATACAATTTTGGCGACAAATATTTTTTGGTTGCCAAAATGTAACCTTCCGGGACAAAATTTGAAGTTGGTCGCCAAAAGTATACCAATTTCTATGACTAACTTATTTTTGGTCGCCAAAATGTGACCTTCTACGACCAACTCATTTTGGTCGCCAAAAATAACGATCATTTGCGACTAATTAATATTTTGGTCGGCAAATGTCATTTTTTTGCGACCAAAATTTTTTTGGTCAGCAAAAGTGGTCGGCAAATGTGTAAATTCTTGTAGTGTTAACAATAATTGATATGATATTTTTGTTATTAATCCAATTATTTAAGTTACATTTCTTTTGATTTTAATTTCATAACTAAAATACAATATAAATATAACACACACATGAATTTCTAGTCTTTAGGAATAAAAAGGTTTCAGAATGTTTCCAACCTTTCATCATTTTCTTTTAATTTTTTTTTATCTAATTTGATTTTAAGTTTGAATAAAAAATTTGAATTGACATAAATTACTTTAACTTTTTCGTTAAATTTTTATCAATTTTTAAAAGAACTTTTATTCGTATCCCTTTTTTTTTCTTTTCATCAGTTTTGATGAAAAAAACAATAATTTCTATCAAATCAAATTATAATTCGATAAAAAAATATTAAGGGTTGAAGATCCTCTTAATTGAAATTATAGTGAAATAACATCTTGAAATAGTGAAAGTTTGAGTATGTGATTGGTTGAAATGTATAATTTGTATAATTCTCTTCTCATATTTGTATAAAAATGAACACTTATGACCACATCAGTATAAGCCGGATTATGGAAAGTTTTTTGAGGTGTCAAACATTTTTCAATTATAAATATCCTACCTATTAAAAAAAGTAAAAAATAAAATAAAAAGAAAAAAAATGTGTAACATTTGTATACGTGTTTATCAATTTTGTTTTGTAGACATAAACAACTGATGTTTCAATTTAAAAAATTAAAAAGTCAAAAAAAAAAAATAGATTGGATTTTTTGGGGATAAAAGAAACCATCTAACTCCTCTATATACTATTTTAAGATGGACTATTTTAATCACATAAAAAAATAGAAATTATATTCGAAAATTATTCCTATATATTATGCTATTACATACAAATATAGCGGTAACATATTAATTAACATATACGAAAAGTTATACTAAGCTTTCATTTTCAATTAATTGAATTATTATTAACAAACTAATAAATAGCAGTAATGGTATAATATGATAGAAAAAATGATAAAAATAAAAAAACACAATGATATTTAAAAGTTTTAAATTTACCTAGTCATACAAAAATCTAATGTTACAGTACAATTTTGAATTCCTAATAAATTTTGACATTTTCTATAAAAATAAAATAAGAATAAAAAATAAAAAATTTGATATCCATTTTTTTTACTTCAATTTTGCGGTTTTCATTAAAAAAACAAAATCCAATCAAAATCCTTGGCACAAAATGAGCATAGATACTTCGATTGCAGCTATCATCACTAATAATTCTTCTCCACCATGCAAACCTGTAAACAAATACATAAATCTCACTAAAACCGAAACCAAAACCAAACCAACAACAAAGAGAATCACATAGGAAAAAAAATAAAATTAAAAAACAAATAAATTTATGTAGTGGTAGGATATTACCTCCCAACAACTTAGACCTCGCCTCGCCCGTTAACTTCTCCACCAGTGCCTGTGAAGTTTAAGAGTTGAGATGACTTATCAGATTATTCTTTAAATAAGACTTAAAAATTGATTAATTTCTCTCTTTAAGGGATTTAAAATTTTGATAGATATATATAAAAAAAATAGATAATTATATTATTAAATCATAATTTAAAATTTCGATATTGTCATATCTTTTTTTATATTTATATCTAAATTCTTATCTTATTTATTTTTGTGTGGTTTCTATTAATTTTTTTTTCAATTTATTTAAGATGGAGTTGTGAATTTCTATTTTTTTTTACTTTAATTTGTCTATGGTTTCTATTTATTTTTAATTATTATTATATACGTAAGTTATAATGTGAGTTAGATATGTGATAGACATGTGAGTTTTATTTGTTTAAAGTATGATGGTGTGAGATATTTTCAAATTAGATTTGTTTAAATAGACTTTAAAGATTTTTAAAATTTAAAATTGGATATTGAGAGGCAAAAAAAAGATTTTAACAGAATATATAAAAATCATATTTATTAATTTTATCTATTTGTATATCTGATTTTTTTTTAGGTTATGTTATAATATAATATATAGATAGATACCCACAATTCTCATGAAAAATATTATCTAATTTTTTGAGAGTGAGAAAATGAAGGCAAGTTTTTATATTTTCTTCTGGAAATCGATGAGAGAAATTACAATGGAGAGATTATTAAATGTTTTTGTTATCTTTTCATTTGAAATCCATAAATTAAGAGATAATTATTATTTCCAAAATAATTAAATAGGTATGAGAGAAGTTCAAAAAAGGGGATAATTATTATTTCAAAAATAATTAAATAGGTATGAGAGAAATTGAAAAGGGTGTGTATGAGAGAAGTCAAAAAGGCTTGGGAGAAGTCAATAAGCGCTAAGTTTTTTTTTTTTAAATCAAAAAATTAGGAAATTAAGATTGGGGTATTGGAGCTCCCACAAAGCTTGTAAGTTAGAAACCCCTATCTATTTGTATATCTGATTTTTTTAATTTTTTTTTTAGGTTATGTTATAATATAATATATAATATATAGATCGATACCCACAACTCTCATGAAAAATATTGTCTGATTTTTTGAGGGAGAGAAAATTGAGGCAAGTTTTAATATTTTCTTTTGGAAATCGATGAGAGAAATTACAATGGAGAGAGTATGAAATATTTTTGTTATCTTTTCATTTGAAATCCATAAATTAAGGGATAATTATTATTTCCAAAATAATTAAATAAGTATGGGAGAAGTTCAAAAGGAGGGATAATTATTATTTTCAAAATAATTAAATAGGTATGAGAGAAGTTGAAAGGGTGTGTGTGCCCGTGCTATGCATGGGATAATTATAGATATTTATATTTGTTTTAGATTTTTTTTAATTTTTTAAATTATGTCTTTTAAGATTTTTATAAAAATAATTTAACAATCTTATCACTAATTATAGTGTATGGGAGAAGTTGAAAAGGGTATTACAGTAACTATGCACGGGTTGTATCTATAATTATTTGTATGAGAGGCTTTTAAATGCTGATGAGGTGATTTTGGCCAAATCTATAAATGCAGGTATGTGGAAAGACATTTGAATTAAAAAAAGTTAATAAATGCTGATCATAGGATTTTGACCAAATCAATAAATGTTGAGATTTTTTTTTTTTAAATAAAAAATTTAAAAAATTCAGATTGGGATATTGGAGCTCCCATAGGACTTGGGGTTTAGAAACCTCCTTTTTCTTAGTATATACTAGCCTATCACCCGTGCAATACACGGGATAATTATAGATACTTATATTTGTTTTAGATTTTTTTTAATATATAAATTATGTTTTTAAAGATTTTTATAAAGATAATTTAACAATCTTATCACTAACCATAGTGTATAAAAGAAGTTGAAAAGGGTACTGCAGTAACTATACATGGATTGTATCTATAATTATTTGTATGAAGGGATTTTAAATGATGATCAAGGGATTTTGACCAAATCAATAAATGCAGGCATGTAGAAAGACATGTGGATTGAAAAAAGTTAATAAATGCTGATTAGGGGATTTTGACAAAATCAATAAATACTGAGTTTTTTTTTTAGTAAGAAATTTAGAAAATTCAGATTGGGATATTGAAGCTCCCACAGGCCTTGGGGTTAAAAACCCCCTTTTGCTTAATATATAGTATAGATATATACAGATATAATAATATATAGATATAGATAGATAAATATTATATTAAAGCTTAATATTTTGATAATAATCATATGTATTGAAATTTTCAAGAAATTTTGTTTATGCTGGTCTTTAATGCATTAAAGTTTAATTATGAGGAGGTTTTGACCAAATCTTCCAAAAGGCATGGAGGTTGGAAGAAATTAATAAATGCTAAGATTTTTTTTTTAAATTAGAAAATTAGGATTGGGATATTGGAGCTCCTACAAGGCATTTCCAAAATAATTAAATAGGTATGAGAGAAGTTGCAAAAGGTGTGTGTGGGAGAAGTCAAAAAGGCTTGGGAGAAGTCAATAAGTGCTAAGTTTTTTTTTAAATCAAAAAATTAAGAAATTAAGGTTGAGGTATTGGAGCTCTCATAAGGCTTGTGAGTTTGAAACTCCATTTTCCTTATATTATACTAGCCTATCACCTGTGCTATGCACGGGATAATTATAGATATTTATATTTGTTTTAGATTTTTTTAAATATATAAATTATGTTTTTTAAGATTTTTTTCTTATCACTAACCATAATGTATGGGAGAAGTTGAAAAAAGTATTGCAATAACTATACACGAATTGTATCTATAATTATTTGTATGAAGGGATTTTAAATACTGATCAGGAAATTTTGACCAAATCAATAATTGCAGGCATGTGGAAAGATATGTGAATTGAAAAAAGTTAATAAATATTAATCAGGGGATTTTGACCAAATCAATAAATGCTGAGTTTTTTTTTTTAAT